ACCCAAACCCCTCTGTCTCTCTTACACTTTCTTTCACCCTGGTTCTCTCATCGAGAGGGATAAGGGGCGAGAAACACCCCCTTCTCCCTCTTTCTCTCTCGTTCTTTCTCCCCTACCTCGCTCTCCTTTCCGGCGTGCTGCTCGTTTACTTTCACTGCACTCTCGCTGCTGCAATGCGCCATACTTTGTCATTATTGGGCAAGTTTCGTGAGGGATGACTGGACGCTTTGCTCTGTTGTGCGTGAGAGGCGAGCCGCCGGGAGGGAGAACAACGCTCAGGGGCTGAGGCCGCTGTATAGAATCAAGGGCAGTGATGCCCCAGACATTATTGCGTGTTGGTGGTGAGTCTCGCCGACGCCTCCACCACTGCAGGCGCGGCTTGGTCGACATGGTCGTGCTGTCGATAATGTACCATAGCCTCGAGGGACCCTCGAGGGATCTGTACCTTTTAATAGATTTCGCTAGGGTGAGGATAACTCGACTATTTTCGGTGACGGCGAACTGTGACACAGGCCGCTGCAATGTGAACCTTATGGTGGTTATTCCTTCGAACCCAGCGTGTTGACGGCGGTATAGAACTGGTTGAAGACGTGCCTCATCGAGGCCCTGCCGAAGCGGCCCAGCCCCCTGCACCTCAGCGCCGGGGTCTTGGCCGCGGCCAGCATGACGAGGAGCAGGGCGCGGGCCTCCCGGTGCTCGACGCCGTCGGTGGACGCGTGGTAGGCGGACCTCGCCAGAGACAGGCTCGCGTCCGACATTTCCTGGCTGTAGTGCGCCAGCGGCAAGAAGACGACAAACGCGGGGACGAGGAGGCTCAGGGTGGCGGCGGACGCGTCGCCGCCCAGCACCTGTAACAGTAATACCCACGTCAGTGTTGACGTACAGGTTTTTCGGTGCGACAGTGCCATCCACTGGGTACGCAAAGTAATATTCCACACTTTAAGGCTATTTGTGTGCGAAAGCCTATTTGTACACCTAAGTGAGTAAAGGTGTGAATTTTCTTTTAAAGTTTCACACACTTGTGCCTCAAAGTGCACGAATGGCGTTCTCACACCTACAAGTGTGTGACAGTCACATACTCAGGTTTCCGGTGACCTACCAGCACGGTGGCGAAGAGCGAGCTGCAGAACGAGCTGGACAGGACGTGCACGAGCTTGCCGGCGGCGTACTCGGTCAGCTCCAGGACCGCGAGGCGCAGTTTCCGGTGCGTCGCGACCACGTCGCGGACCTCCTCCGCGGTCGCGCCCCCCGGGGCGAGTAGGCGCAGCCCCAGGGCGTCGTGCAGGCCGGCCGCGGCGGCTGCGCACAGCCAGAAGCTGGCCACCACGTAGCAGATGGTGAAGACGGCCAAGAGTGTCCAGCACCCCCAGAACAGCCGGCCGCAGGGCGCGCCCCAGGGCCCGGCGTGGGGCACGAACGGCCAGAGCGACAGCTGAGGGTCGTCGGCCAGGCCCATGTCGGCGCACAGGCTGGCGACCACGAGCACGGCGAAGGACACGGTCATCGTCGAGAGCATCGCCACGCCTCGTAGCGTCCGCTCCGCCCACTTCTGTGAGTCGGAAATGTACCGAAAACCATTAGTGTGTGAATGTTGCACACTTGTAGGTGTGTGAACGCCATGTGTACACATGGAGGCACAAGGCTAGAGTTTGTGAATTTTCATATGAAAATCTACACCCAGAGAACCATTTAGTTCATAAAACTAAATCAGGGTAATAAGAAACAAAATTTAGTTCCCAAAACCGACTCAAATTTAGTAACCCCATTTCTCACTAAATATGACCGCATCAAACAAATTAAGTGTTTAAGTCGGTTTTAAATTTGGTTCTCTGGACTAAACGGTCTTCTGGGTGTACACCTCCAACCCTATAAGTGAGCGAATGGGCGTTCCTACATACTTGCGTTTCTAGTCGTGCAGATAAATAAATTAAGTACAGGCTATTGCAGCTACCTTGTCACCGGGCCAGGCCTCCGCTTCCTGCACCAGGCTCTGCAGCTCTTGCAGGACGGAGGACAGGCGCCCCTGGCGGACCACGGCCAGGCTGGCGTTTGCCGAATAGCACGAGGATATGTTCATGATCGCCACCTTGGCCGTCTCGAAGGACCCGAGCCTATCCATTCCGGAGGCGCATACGAACGCGGTGCACAGTCCCATGAATATGCCCGAGAGCTTAATAATAATAATAATAATAATAATAATAATAATAATAATAATAATTACTAAACATTGGGGCGCTTTATAGTGAAGAAGAGATCAATGCCAGAACATCACCGGGTTAATTCTTTCATGAAAACTGTCCCTAGAAAGAATGAAAATCAAGCAGTCAATTTCCCTCCACGCACCTCCCCCCCCCCCCCCTTAAAAAAAAGATGAATAATGCTTGTGATCTAATGGCGTGTTCTCCCCGAGCTTCTTTCCAGTTCCAATGAAGTTCTTCATATGCTGTGCTAGACAAGTATCGTTTTCATCCAAAAAAATCTTCGTGAACTTTGTAGAACCTTTAACCTTTAAATCTTGAACTGCAAAGCGCCTGCGTCAATCTACCACATTTCAGTAAGAAATGACCGTTAAAACGATATAGACACGACATTTCATTTCGACGCTTCTTTGATCGCTTCCATATAGTTTTGAAGTTTGTCACTTTGTTTTCCTATTGGGACAGGCTTGCAGTGCTAGCGACCGATATCTCACGGCAACGTACCTTGCTGCTCATCACGTCAAACACTAATCGCGGCAGTGGCCCTGCTTCAAGGCAATGCCAGGACATCCATTCGATGAGCCGCATTATCGAAGGGGCCAGGAGGGAACAGCTTCGGTCTGGTGATGGCGATGTACTAAATGCCCCTGCCGTGTCCAACCCGCTGTAATACATTCACGTCGAACGCAGATGTGTGCTTTCCCAAACAAATCGAAGACCAGGATAATTGTAATGCTACCTACGTCACTACGGCATCATGTGGGGAAACACTGAGAAATACATGTAAGAGAAGGGAGCTCTTTTTCTTCTGGCAGAGACAGTCTTGGACGTTTCTTTTAAAAGTTGCAAATTCACATTCTTGCAGAGGGATATTTTTTTTGTAAGCAGCTGGTGATACGTTAAGACACTTTTACACAGAAATTAACCAAGATAATGTTAACAGTTATCTGTGCGAAATGAATCGTGTGTTCGGTCCCTGTTCGGCGTACGCGTGCAATGACCACTTCCCTCGCACAGCGGTTAGTTGAGTATGTGTGTGTGAGAGAGAGAAAGGGGGGGGGGGGTGCACACGTTCGCTTCTGTGCACGTGCATTGCACGTGTGGGTGTCGGTATGCGAATGTGTGAATGCGCACGGGTGGAATTATTATGCAAAAGAAGGCCTGGCGCTCGGCTATGGCCGCGCTGACCGCGTGGCCGCGTGGCGGCGGGGGGTGGAGAGGGGGAGAGGGAGGGGAGAGTGGCAAGTGGAGGCGCAAACAAAGCGGTATGCAGGCGTTCACTACAGCGCACACACACACACACACACATACTCTGCCTCTCTCTCTCTCTCTCTCTCTCTCTCTCTCTCTCTCTCTCTCTCTCTCTCCTCTCTCGCTCTGCTTGCAGGCACATATCCGCGCTGGCATTGTTTACGCCCCTGCCTGCCGGTGCTCGCTCTCTTCTCCCAATAGTGATGGAAAGTTGAGTGTGACAACGCCGCCACGCCTCGCCGCGCCCCGCCGCGTGTTCTGCCATGTGTGTGTGTGTGTGTGTGTGTCGGGGTCCCGTTGACAAAAGTTTTTGTCAGAGAAACGCGCGAAATCTGTGAAAGAGGGGGTGGGGAAGGGGAGGGTGTTTGACTTTGAGAGAGGTTTTGGACCGGTGTATTTATTATTGGCGGGTGTTTACATGCGTGGGCAGGTGATTGTGTTTGTGTGGGTGTGTTATTGGTGTTTCGGGGGCGGTATGTGTTGGCACTTGAGGGTCGCGGTCAGTGTAGTTGTGGTCGTTTTTACCATTGTACCGTTGTACCAATTATTTAACCACTTTAAAAGGCCCTAAGTGCTACCTTCTGTTTTTCCGGTCAATGGCAGCAGCATCAACCCTCTCATCCACTCGACGTGCAACCACCACCACCACCACCACCACCACCACCACCACCACCACCACCACCACCACCACCACCACCACCACCACCAATATTCGCTTGACGGCGGGGTTTGGGTGTTTCCTTCTCCCCTGCTGCCCTTCTGCTCTGCGAACTCGACGAGGAAATGATGGCCCCGTCGGACTGACCGCACGGCTAACCGTCCCATCCGACGCGCCCGGCCGTGGCCCCGAGCCGACAGACAGTCAAAGGGGAGCAGCGTGTGGGGGAGAGGGTGCGGCGGGGGAAACGGTCAGCCGGCAGTTTGTCACCATGGCGTGGCTATGATGGCGATGGCGGCTGCAGCGGTTGCGCTGGCTCACCCCCCCCCCCCTCTGCCGTTCTGCTGCGCCCCTCTATACTCTTTCCCTCGTTTGTTTTTCGGCACTCCCATTCACTAAACGTCAATAAAAACAACCACGGTCAAATCCAACGAGTAAAGTTCCTCATTGTCCTCTGGTAAAAAATAAAGGGCAAATTTATGATTTTGCGTGAAACTACCCTATCAAAATAATTTTAAAACACCAACATTCATTGTAATAGAGTTCTGGGTTCATTATTTTCTCAAAGACTTCGGTATCGAAGCGTCATGCCGATCGATGGCGCTGTTTACCATTTTCCGGTCTCCTCTTGCGTGCCACGGCCGCAACCGCGTGGCGCTCCTCCTCTCCGTCGAACTCGCGCTCGCCTCGTGGTCCATCGCCTTTAACGCCCCGCGCCCGGCCGCTGCATAAGGGATGCTGGGCTTTAAAGGGGAGCGGCTGGTGCTTCGGAGGGCGCGTAACGCGCGTAGCGCGCGAAGCGTGAAAGTGCCCGGGGAAAGAGTTTCCTTCTTGCTGCTCGACGACGAACGTCATATTGATTCTAACGACTTTGGTTTCTCTTGTGCCTGCAGGTGAGTGGTGGCGCCGTCATATCGCAGAAGGAGTCCTGGACCAAGGAGAGACCGGCAAAAGCGGACATGTGATGCGAAGAGGTGGTATGTGTTCATGGGAACAATACGAAATAAGTTATTGTTTTCACTAAGTTGTTTTCATTTTTATTAAATTCTGTTACAAAGATAAGTCAAAGTGGATATTTTTCTACAATAATACCCAGAGAACCATTTAGTAGGTTAAACTAAATAAGGGCTCTAAAAAATAAAATTCAGTTCCTAAAACTGACTTGAATTTAGTTACCTTATTTTTATACTAAATGTATCGTCGTACTATTCAAAGTAACCTAGCTTGACCAAATTGTTTTCATCGTCAAGGGTAAAACTCGGTGTGCATTGCTAAAATTTCATCGGTTTTGCTCTTCGTTTTCTGGACTAAACAGTCTTTTGGGTGAAGTATGTCGTTTTTTCAGTCGTTTCGATTTAATTCCAAAATTAAACCTTAGTCAATCCTTAATACTCTTTTCTCTATTTCTTTCGTCGTGGTAATTTTTTATCATAAGAAATTATCAAGTGTATCTTTGTTGATACTGGAAACATTTTTCCCACCGTTGCAAAATCTGCTTCCAGCTGTGTACGTTCGGGGTAACGCAAAATAAAAGGGAACCTTTCCCTTCATGAACCAAACACAGCGGCAGGGCAAGGGAAGGTGGGCAGCAGGAGGGTAGGACAGCAGTTGGAGCGTTTTAATACCAGCTTCGTCCAAAGGGAGCAGGGGCGTTTTTCCCTCATTCTGTTCTATTTTGACCCGGCCTGACCCCAGCGTGGGCCCCAAAAGAACAGAAGGGTCGCACTCTTCTACAGCCATCGCCCTCCCACCCCCTCTCTCTCTTTCTCTCTCTCTCTCCCCCCCAACGGCGGCAGGCACGGAAAAGGTCCAGCACAGGGCTCGACTAGCCACTTTGCTCCCACAGGCGGCGTCACCTAGCCCCCTCGGGTGCCGTAGCGTGGTGTTCGTGTGTCGACGTGTGGGTCTGTGTGGGTGCGTGGCGGTGGTGGTGGCGTGTCTGTGTGAGTGAGGACGCTGTAAAAAGCCTTCCCCCCCACTTTCATACCACTGGCATGACTTATAATTCATCTGCCTGCAAGGCTCCCCAACGAGATGCAGATTGGTCCAGCAGCGAGTTGTTGTTGCTGTTCTTGTTTGTGAGTGACGAGAGAGGATAGCAGCAGCAGCAGCATCGGAGGGGTGCAAGAAAGGAGAACAGAATATGAAGCTAATCTTTGGCTGGGTAGCAGGCGGCGGTGGAGGAGGGGACGGCGGCAGCGGCACGGGCCTAGAAGAGCGCCAATAGGGGACACAACAAGACAAACTCTTGCACTTCCCCGTTAGTTAGCAGTATAAATAGGAAAACGGAAATCGAATTAAGAAGGACTAGGGGAGCAAGGCAAGCTGCTCAGGGGGAGGAAGATGTGTCATTAGCGTCTCTCTCTCTCTCTCTCTCTCTCTCTCTCTCTCTCTCTCTCTCTCTCTAACTCTTGCTTACCCACCTCCACCCCTCAACCCTTCACTTTTAATCCCCCTTCCCCCTTCCACCCCGTCAGTCCGTCACCCCGTGTGTACATGACAGAGGATTCCCTCGCTCCTCGGGAGTGCTGTTGCCCCCAAGCAGGCGAGCGGGTGAGGAGCGAGCAAACGGGCGGGGAGCGAGCGAGCGGCACTTTTCTCAACTTGATTAAATTTAATTTAGTTGAAAAATCCTGGGACGTGGACGGGGCGCCGACGCCGCGGCCGCCTGGTTCCTTCCGAGCGCTCTTCCGTCTTGTGTAATTTTTTTTTTTTTGAATTTCTTATTATTTAATTGGCTAATCCGGGCGGACGCCGTCCGAATTAATTTTGAATGCGGCCTTTCTAGAGCGATGGGCCGCACGCCCGCTGACTCAGCTGCCGCCAAGACGAATGTGTAGCCGTCCCCAGAGCCATAGCCGTGTTCACTGGAATTTTTTGAAAAAAAAAAATCATTTACAAATTCAAAGACTTAGATACGAATCTTTTTCAAATAACATCGAGAATCATATCATTTACTTCGCTCCCAATACTAAATAGTTTCTAAAAACATGTGAATGGTACACGTGAGTATCTCTCTTGAATTCATTACCTTAATGCACTGCGTCTACTCGTGTGAGCGAGAGAGAGAGAGAGAGAGCGAGAAATAGAGATGTGGAGATGAGATGAAGTGCGATGGAGAGCTCGACTAGTGTGTGACGGCCCGGGAGGGACTGAGGGGGGAAGGAACGTTGCGTTTGATGTTTGCTGAAATGGGCCAAGTTTTTGTAGCTTTGCACTTCGGGGGTTCGAGTTTGTTGGTCTTCGCGTCGCGTCGTTGCTGCTGCGAAACGCTCGCTGCTCTCCACGACTTGAGAGTATGTTCGGGCGCACTTCTTTTGAATATGTAGCCTCCTCTGGTACCAAAGAAGACGAATTTCAAAGTCAGTTTTAGGTGAAAATGTGCTTTGCTGTGGGGTGTTTTCCTTTTGGCCCGCTCTCGGGAAAGTTGTATTCTTGCTATCTGTGTGGGCTCTGGTCGCTGCTAGCATTCCCGGGCCAGCTACATCTCTCTTTCTCTGTCGCCTCTCTCGCTCTCTCTCTCTCACTCGCTCCTCTCTACCCGCCGCACCCCCTCACTCACTCCTGCACCGGGCCCAGCGTCGCACACTTACGACGTCTGGAGATAACAAGATGGCCACACCTCTCTCTCTCCCCCCAGGCTGCCCACCCACTATCTCTCGCTCTTTTCGCTCTCTGTCTCACCCTTTTCGTCCTCTTGTGTGCTCCCCCCCTCCAACCCGCTCACTCTCTTCCCCCCCTCCCTCCCTTTCATTGTCGCTCAGTGGCGTCGCTCTGCCCTTAGCTTTTATTGCAATTGGGGCATTTGCGTGGCTTATCTGTCTAATCCTTGGGCGATCCAGTCGCGGGGCCACGACACACACTCACGGCGCGCGCGCGCACACACACACACACACACACACACACACACACACACACAAACGCACGCACGCACTCGCACACCCACACAGACACTTGGGCTACAGCGGGGCAGCTGAGGGAGGGAAGCCTCGGCCCAGGAAGATGTTGTTCTTATCCGGGGGATTTGTTCATGCGGCTTCGCTCCGTAGGGACGGACGATGTCGAGTGTGCTGTTCTCGCTCTACCTCTCCTCTCTCTCTCTCTTCCTGGCTCGCTTCTCCCCCCC